ACTCATCCTGCTCCAGGCAATTCTACCTCAGGGCCTTTGCACATCCCTTTGCCAGTAATGCTCTTCTTTCAGGTATCTGCGTGGCTACCTCTCACCTCTCTAGGCCTTTACTCAAAATTTTCTGACAATTCCTGCTACCATATCCAACAATGCAAACTCCACCCCTGCCTAGATGCTCCTTATGCTACTTCCTTGCTTCAATTTTCTCCTCCCATCTTATCACCATCTAACATACTCTATATTTTGCTAATTGACTTGTTTGTCTCTCACTACAACTGAAGCTTCAGGAAAGCAGGAATTTGTCTTTTTTGTTCATTGCTACATCTCTAGCACCTAGAACAGCTTGGCATACAGTGGGCATTCAATAACTATCTGCTGAATGAATGATAGCAGCTCCCTGCCCCCACCCCCAAATAGTCAGCCTGTCCTTGTAACATGGCCTTAGCCATGCCTGAGCCACACAGCTTCTCTGTCCTTGCCCTGGGCTGGTCCATTTTCCAAACCTCTAGCCTTCCCATCAATTCTGTAAGCTCCCCAATATCTAGCCAATAAATTCCTTTTCTGTTTAAGTTAGCTAGAGTTGGTTTCTGTGGTTTCCACCCAGAACCCTGCCTGGTGCTTCATCTAACATATGGAATGTTCTAGGGAACCTATATGGAAATGTGCTGCTGGTTCAAGTGTGACAGTCTAGAAGGGGCCAGGTCGTGGAGGGCCCTGAATGCCACTCTGAGCTTGGATCCGATTCTGCAGATAACTAGGGAGGGTTTCACAGGTACTGGCAGATACTGCTCCCACAAATCTCCAGGGCACAGGTTTGGCAAACTTCAGCCCATGGGCCAAATCTAGCCGGCTGCTGTTTTTGTATAATTCATGAGCTAAGAACAGTTTTTACATTTTTTAGGTTTTTAAAAATCAAAAGAATTTTTGTGACACATGCAAATTACATAATCTCAAACTTCAGTGTCCACAAATAGTTTATTGATGTTCATTCATTTATGTATTGTCTATGGTTGCTTTTGAGCTACGAGGGTAGAGTGAAGTAGTTGCAACAGAGGCTGTAGCAAAGCATAAAATATTTATTATCTGGCCATGTACAGAAAAAGTTTGAAGACCCCTGCTCTAGTGGTGGGCCTTTGGGACAAATCTACTCCATTAATGAAAAGAATAATTAGGACATTTGCTTTGAGAAGCTGGGGTCAAAATATCTTCCTATAAAGATAACATTCTGATTTTTTTCCCCAAAGAAACGGATTGTTCTTCACTTAGGTCCTATGTTTAATTAAGCCTCACAGAAAATGCTTTGAGTGACTATCAAGTCTCCCAAGGATGGTGGGACTAGTTAGTAACATTCCACATGTGCAGAAGATAAATTAATCCATTACACAAAACATATGCCTTAAGGTGCTGGGACTTAGCCCTATTAAGGAACCCTGGCTGACAGGCCTGACTTAGGATGTAATCCCAAATCAAGTTTGTCCAGCTCTTGGATTCCTCAGGAGCAGGCAGCAACTAAACAAACCCATAAAGGAAGCTGGATCCTCTTGTTTTGTATGTCCAGGGGGCAGGGGAGTTGTTCACTCAGCACCAGTACCTCAGAGCCCTCCTTGAAATCCCTTAGCTGAGTGAGCCCACCTACCTAGCCCCCTAAAATCCCCTAATGCCCCCCCCACCCCCAATCCATGGCATCCTCTCCATCCAACAACGCACCAGTGGGGAGCCCCAGGGTGAAGTACTTGTCTGGTCCTGGGTTAAACTGGATGATACGGTTCCTGATGTATTTGGCGGCCCATTCGCTGGCCTGAGAATAGTGGTCCAGGATGATGAGCTTCATCTTGTCCTGCAAGGGGCAGGTGACAAAAGGAATCAGCGGTAAGGGGTGGGGAGAAAGGGATGGAGGTGGTTGGACAGGGGTGAAGTCCCTCTCGTCAGGCTGTCTGAGCCAGGAAAAGGAAAGCACTTGGAATTCACACGAGAAATAAACAGCTGGGCCCAGTTCCTCCACCATCCACCAGGAGGCGCCGCTGTAGCAAAGACCTGGGTTCTAATCTTGGTTTCTGATACCTGCGGCAGGATCTTCGTCAAAGGACCCAAGTTGTCTAAGCCTTTCTCTTACGTGAAAATGGGGACAGAAATACGTACCTGGCAAATTTCACGATGGTGAATGTTATTATAAATGAGAAAATGCAATGTAACCTGTTAGTACTGAGTATGTTGGCTATGATCTTGTAGCTCGACCCAGCCTCCCTTCCCCACCCCTCCACCCCCAGCTGCTGGATATTCTCTACAGGGCTCTTCCTCAGTAACTAGAGGAGCCGTGGGATCACCTTGGGCCACCAGAGCAGGTGGGGGGCGTGGGCTTTGCCTGGAGAGGTGTGTTCTCTCACTACTGGAGAGGGGTGCTCCCACCCGCCGGCCTTGCTTATGGACCCTCCGTTTCCCCGAAAGCACACCGGGTAAAGGTAATCGCTCAGGAAAGAGGGCGTTTGCTCCCCCGCACTGCGCTCAGAGTGGGAAGGCCCAAGGCGGAAGTGGCTGAATCAGCGGTCCGTGGGGTACAGAAGTGTTTTCCCCACCCAGAGGGCGATCCCATCACCCCTCCGGCCCCGCCTGGGGAGAGGGTCCGAGCGGATCGCTGGGTTTCCGGTCCCGGGGTGTCGGAGGCTGAGGCAGCGCCAGGACTCCGACCCATGCCCGCCCCTGCCCGCGAGG